AAATAATTTCTATTCCCATGGCTTCTTTGTTCTCTGGGAAATTATTTTTGATGATAAATACAGATTTTTATGCTTGTTTCTATGTTTCTATGCTTTTTCTAATAATTTTAATAAAATAATAGTGCAAAATAGCCTACAAATTCTTTGGTGGGGCGGTGAGGGACCTGGATGAAGGCTAGGGGGCGCTGGCCCGAAAAAGGTTGAGAAACACTGGCACAGGTTGAGAACAGTCCCTTAATGTCCACTAGAGGGCGGTGTAGGCCAGTGCGTAGAGTCAACAACCGGAAAATGCTTCATTAGTTTCAACCATACGGCTGCATACAATGTAATTAACTGTAAATCCAGTGACTTTTACTCATAACATGTAATAGCTGCGTTCATAGTCAAACCTCTAAGTAAGGATAAAACTTTTCTAAACGTGTTTTAACCTCCAGGCTTTCCATTGGAGCTCAGTGAGTCACGTGACCAGAAATGAACAAATCGGTTTCTTTTCCACATAAGCTTTTGGTCTGATTTGGCTCATTTTTCTTTATTTTCCGATGCAAAAAAAACATAAGTGATTTGCAAACTAGATTTTCTATTTACTGTGTTTGTTTTTTGAGTGATAAAGTGTAAAATTTTCCGAACCGTGAGTGAAAATGGGATAGTCGAGGTTGAAATGGTTACCTCCCCAGTTAAATGGGTTATCGCTTCTCGGCCTTTTGGCTAAGATCAAGTGTAGTATCTGTTCTTATCAGTTTAATATCTGATACGTCCCCTACCCGGGGACCATATATTAAATTGATTTTTGGAGCAGGGAGATGGAATAGGGGCTTGCTCCGTCCACTCCACGCATCGACCTGGTATTGCAGTACCTCCAGGAACGGTGCACCCCCTCAGCTGTTACATGGAAATTAGTTTACATTAGGAAATATGATAATTATGAAAGTACTAAAATGTATGTGGTTACTTCTACAGAATGAAGAAAATCCTTTTAATCAGAAATCAGCTGGTTTACATTTTAGACTATGAGAAGACAGCATGTGAGGAGGATCTGCAGAAGTGAACACTGTGGTGCAGGAAGCGGTGAAACTCTCCTGGATTATAAAAACTCACCAGAACAAAGACTCCCAGAGCCACAGAGGGCGCTGGTGTTCACAATACAGCAGAGCTCTAGAGATAACGGCTTCTTCTAAGGAAAAAATGGGTGTAAGGCCTTTGATTAGGTTAGCACTAAAAGTTTGATCAACTAAAACAGAGGATTTTAATTTACTGGCTTTCCAGATGAATGTAGCACAAGGCAACAACTTCTTCTGCCTGTGGTGCGAGTCGGGCTGGACTTCTTTCACCTGCTTAACCTGTAAGAACTGAAGCTGTAAAAGTGATCAGTGATACTCTGATCTCTTTATGTCTGCTGCTGACCTCTGACCCAGCACTTACTGGATGTCTGCTCTGATTATGGGTTATGATGTGCAGCATAATGCTAAGAATGCTAATATGCAGAATTAAGGCAAAGAACTTTGTTTTCCAGAGTTTTATCTGTGGGGGAAAAGCTGAAATGTTGGTACAAAAACCAAACGTCACAGAGGATGGTGATGAGGAAGAGGTACACCAGGTTAACATTCTGGTGAGGAAGCTTCACTCAGATGAGGTAAGTTTAACAGCTGACCGTATGTCCCTGTTTACGTCTCATTAATGGTATAAACTTAAAAGCTCAAAGTCCCTGATAAGACATCCAGCGAGACGTTTGGTAACTCGGGTCAGTTTCTGTGTGAGCGGTCTTACTGCCGTCACTTCGTTCTACAGGTATCATCTCTTTGTGATGAATAAATTAATCCGTAATTATAAATATTAAATAATCTCATGAGAAGACATTTTACCAACAACTTTTTCTACGTTTAATTAATCAAAGATTCAGTCTTTTCTTTCTACTTGAGTAAAAATATTGAATGTTGGTCTCCAGACCAACATGAATGTTCCCCAATAACCAGCCAACATTGATAATAAATAAAATCTTTAATGTCAGTTCTGTTTATATATCCAGAGTACAGACAGATAAATACAACAACATCCACTTCCTGTTTTCATTCAAGTAAAACAAACACTTCAGTGCTTTCAGAGCCGATGGAAGATTTCTAATTTAACAGCATGAAGTTCACTGGAAGAATGTCATCATGCAGGTCAGAATATTGCAGAGAACTTTGGCTTAAAAACAACAACGATAGTTTAAGTAGCAGACCTGAACGCAGCACAACGACCTTCCTGTGTGCAGACCAGCCGCTCGGCTCGGCCGATCAGGGAGCTGCCCGAGTTACATTCAGCAGTCAGACGGAGACAACGTGGCTGGAACCAACCCCACTCCCAATCAGAGACGACCTGCACAGGTCAGAGGTCAACAGAAAGCTTTGTCCAACCTGCTCCTCTATGGAATGCTTTTATTTTGAAACATCCACTGCTTTCTGCTTTCTCGCCTCACAAACCGACACGTTTCAGTCAAAAACTCGTTAGCGGTTAACGAGCTCTTTCTCTATTGGTAGCTCGACCCATTTATTACTTCAGTATAAACATATCACTAACAGGTTTCTAAATCATCTGGACACCTGGGAAGCCCCGCCCACTGACCCCTGAACTCTACAGGATGGGATCAGGAAACGAAGAGCTTCTGCTCAGACGGCCGACACCATCAGATCGACTAACAGTCAAGATGCAGGAGAACCCAGAGAGACCCGGACAGGGAGAGCATGCTATCTGCCCCGTTATCTGCCCCATCACATCAATATTTACCCCTGGGGGAATCCAGCTGGTTTACTGTAAATATCATCACTGAGTTTCATTATAACACAAATATCAACACAGGAAGCAGCCGAGAACTTTCACAATAAGAGTCCAGATGGCTTCGTCCAGCAGAAATGGTATTAACCAGGAGAAGACGTGAAACACACCTGGTCATGGTGGTAACAGGCCAGAAACTCGTTAGCAGTTAACGAGCTAACACTAACTGGTGATTCCAGGAACCAGGTGACTGGTTCCTGGAATCACCTGTCAGGACGTTGGGACCCATTCTGCCTGCTGCAGTGTGACATCATCATGATGATGTCATAAAATGGAGGTGATGCTGCTGGTCTACCATGTTTGGATTCTAAGTCTTGGAAGACGGAAGCTGATTGGTTTGTTTGTGAAACATGCTGCCCTCTGATTGGTCGGTAGCTGCTGTGATTCATTATTGCATCATCTGTAAACAAGTTTTCTTCACATTCCGGAAATCTGAAGTGTTTTCTTTGTTTCACATCAGTAGTCTCAGCTCCTTCAAAGTAAAATGTCACTTCCTGTGGTCACTTCCCTTTCAGATGGCTCCGCCTCCTTCAGGTGTCAGAAGAGCAGACTCCGCCTCCGCGTCGGGCTGGTAGCTGGCAAAACAAACGTTTCAACATCAGAAACTTAAAGCTCACTGAAACCTCTGACTCCTGGTGACCTGCTTCACCTTCGACCCTCACTGCTCTGATGGTCTACTGAAAGGTCCGACAGTCTCTATTGGACCAGGTTAAAGTTCTGCAAGTGGACCCGACCGGACCTGAACTTCCTGAACCAAAGTTCAGAGGAATCGGGTTTGTGTTTGTTTCCCTCAGGAACCTCAGGCTACCTGGTGAACGCCGCTAACTAAAACGCTAGCTCCGCTAACCCTATAGCACTATTCATAAACATTAGTTCTGCTAATGCTAAAGCACTACACCAACATGCTATACGGCAGTAGCTATTGCTAAACGCTAAACTCAACCATGTTGACACCCACCATAAATGGTGGGCACTGCTAGCTGAAGAGCTAGCTGCACTAACCCCAGAGCACTAAACATATGAACGCTAAAGCACTAAGCTAAAAATTAGCTCTGCTATTAGCGCATTAGCGGACGTAGTGCCCAGTGGAGACGGGACCACGGTGTGTCTGACGGTTACCTGGATCAGGAGCTGCCGGCGGCCTCACGCTCTCCTTCTCCAGCTGGATCTCCGACAGACTGAAGATGGACACCGCTGAAACGTAATCATATGACCTTGGTGACATCACAAACAGGAAAGGTTGTGTCCAAGGTTACACTTACTGTCAGGAAGTGATGTCACTCTGTTTCCAAGGTTACTGAAGTAGCAATGTTTCATGGCCTCGTCAGCAGAGATCCTCTTCTTCCCTTCGAACTAAAGTTCAAACACTCATCAGAGCTGCTTCAGCCGTTACCATAGAAACACTGTGAGGCGTTCACTGACCTGCAGGAACTTTGACAGCAGCTCCACTCCTTCACTGCTGAGCCTGAACACAGAGAGGAGGATGCTGGGAAAAACCCTGGCTACCTGGGGGTATTTCTGGGGTATCCGGGCCTACCTGGGGGTGTGGTTGCTCAGCCTCTCGGCTCGGTACTGAGGGAAGTTGAAAGCCAGGAACTCCTGGTTGGAACCGATTCCAGGCCAGCTGCGCTCTCTGGGCGTTCCTGCAGGCAAAGCAACCTTCAGTCAGCAACAATCCTGGATGCTGATTGGCTCACGGTGATTGAAGCTGATTGGTTAATACCCAGCAGCTTGAAGATGAAGTGAAGCTCCTCCTCAACCGTAGACCCAGGAAAGAGAGGGCGACCCGTCACCATCTCATAGAAGATACACCCAACACCCCTGGAGACACAAACGGGTAGAGACGGGTGGAAACGGCTCGTAGACGGCTGAGGGTCCGAACCGACCCCTTTATCTGTTCAGGTTTCTGTTCCTGAGGGCTGGTACCAGAACCGACAACCAGCACCACTGGAGACAGGAAGGGACAACCTGGACATGTCAACGGTCCATCAGCAGGACAAGCAACCATGGAGACACAACCACCAGCTGGGAGAGAACAGGAAACCCGACGGACATGTTTCTGGACAGAACCAGGAGGAAACCCAGAGAGGAAACCCGGCCGTGCGCTGGGAGAACATGCTAACTCCATGCAGAGACTTTGTTGCTAAAAGCAGTCCGATCTGAGAACTGGAACCGGAACCAGAACATGCAGAACCATACCACATGTCGATGTGGGTGGAGTAGTCGGTGCTGCCCAGCAGGATGTCCGGCGGCCGGTACCACAGCGTCACCACCTCATTGGAGTACGTTTTTGTTGGGATGGACTTGGCTCGGGCCAAACCTGAAGGACACCAAGTATTCCAGTCAGAACAGAAGCAGAACCCAGAACCAGAACCAGAGGAGAACTCACCAAAGTCAGCCAGCTTGAGCTCCCCTCGCTCGTTGATCAGCAGGTTCTGGGGCTTCAGGTCCCGGTGGAGAACTTTCCTCCGGTGGCAGTAGGACAAACCGCGGAGCAACTGGAAGAGAAACAGCTGAGACAGAAACACCAGACCAGTCAGCTGGTTCTACTGGTTCTACTGGACCCTCCATCCATCATCCATCCATCCTCACCTTGACGTTGTGAACATGGATGACGTTTCCACAGTCGTCCAGGTATTGCTTCAGGTCTTTGTCCTGAAATTTAAAAATCCAGATAATTCTGGTAAATCGGGTGATTAATAATCAATAAGCCTATTGATCCACCGTTTCCCGGTAACGACTCACCAGGTACTCAAAGACCAGCGTGAGGGATTTCTGCGTGTGGATGATGTCATGAAGCGTCACGATGTTGGCGTGTTTCAGGTCCTTCAGCAGAGACACTGCAGGAGGAAAGACATGTCAACCAGCAACTCGTCAACCAGCAACTCGTCAACCAGCAACTCGTCAACCAGCAACTCGTCAACCCTGTAAACCATGTTGCTAGTTGCTGCTGCGGTACCTTCTCTGATTGCCGTGCAGGGAGCTCCCTCTTCATGTTCCAGGCGGATCTCCTTCAGGGCAACCAGGTTGTCGGTTAGCTTGCTGCGACCTTTGTACACTGTGGCGTAGGTCCCCTGCAGACAGACAGGTGGCGCTCTGAGGACCCGGACACGTCGGTTCCTAAACACTCGGACTCGCTCTGTGAGCTCACCTCTCCCAGTTTGTCCAGTTTGATGTACGTCTCCAGTTTCCCGAACCCGATCTCCGACTGCACACAGAGAGAAACACGCTGAGCTGATGGAGGCGCGGCGCGGCGCGGCGCGGCGCGGCGGAGAGGAAACGTACTAGAGACACTCGGCGGAGCCGCCTGCTGATTGGCTGCTCGAACAGAGCCGGACCAATCACGCTGAACTTCTCCAGGTAATCATCAGGAAGACGAATATCTGCCGGCAATGACAGACGCTTGTTGATGTCCTGAAACACGAGAAGAGACAGACTTCACCTGCTTTAGCTGTGAGGGGTCAGCCAGGGTCAGGAGAGGCACAGATCAGTTTCAGGTGTTTTGTGCGTCTGGTTCTGGTTCCGGTGTGTTACCTCCGTTGAGATCTTCTTGTTCCTCAGTCGGACTCGGACTGGACTCTGAACATCGTCTGAAGACGAAGGCGGATCACTTTCTCCACCAGAGTTCATCTTGACGTCTTCATGAACTATTTCTGAAAGAACCAGCAGAAGTTTCAGACTCAGCTTCAGAACCAGAGCCGCCGGGTTTCTCGTGGCCGGTACCGAGTCTGGTGGCCCGGTTCAGGTAGGAACTCAGGCTGCGGCCAAGACCACGGGGCCTCCTCATGGAGCCGCCGTAGGACTGCAGCAACGAGTGGACCGAAGACGAGGAGGCGCGGACCTTCAGAGCTGCTGAGGAACGAAGAGACGGGACCTCTGGGAGAGG